AGGAGAGAGACCAGAGAGAGGAGAGAGACAAGAGAGAGCAGAGAGAGAGACCAGAGAGAGGAGAGAGACCAGAGAGAGACCAGAGAGAGAGCAGAGAGAGAGCAGAGAGAGAGCAGAGAGAGACCAGAGAGAGACCTGTGAGGACCAGAGAGAGACCAGAGAGAGACCAAAGAGAGACCAGAGAGAGAGAGACCAGAGAGAGAGACCAGTGAGGACCAGTGAGGACCAGAGAGACCAGAGAGAGACCAGAGAGAGACCAGAGAGAGACCAGAGAGAGACCAAAGAGAGACCAGAGGGAGACTAGAGAGAGACCTGCAAGGACCAGTGAGAGAACCACAGGGACATGGACCAAAGCTACATGAAGTCCTCTTGGCGCATGTTTAAAGATAAGACTGTGGGGATCCTGTCCCTCTCCTGCTGTCCAAGCTCTTTAACCTCTGACCCCTGCTGACCCCTGCTGACCACTCTTGACCCGGGGCTCTCTGTGATCTGTGACCTTTAACCTCTGCTGCTGCGGTCTCTCGTTACTGAGCGGAAATTTCCTGTTTCCTGTGGAGCACCGCACACTCCACTCAGAGACCAGAGAGAGACCAGAGAGAGACCAGAGAGAGAGATCAGAGAGAGAGACCAGAGAGAGACCAGAGAGAGAGACCAGAGAGAGACCAGAGAGAGACCAGAGAGAGAGATCAGAGAGAGAGACCAGAGAGAGACCAGAGAGAGACCAGAGAGAGAGATCAGAGAGAGAGGGGAGAACATGCAAACTCCACTCAGAAAGGCCCTGGTCCAACCGGGATTCGAACCCAGGACCTTCTTGCTGAGAGGCGAGAGTGCTATCCACTCAGCCACCGTGCCGTGAGGAGCAGGAGGAGCAGTGAGGAGCAGGAGGAGCAGTGAGGAGTAGGAGGAGCAGGAAGAGCAGGAAGAGCAGGAGGAGCAGTGAGGAGCAGGAGGAGCTGGTCTCTCTCTGGTCTCTCTCTGGTCTCTCTCTGGTCTCTCTCTGGTCTCTCTCTGGTCTCTCCCTGGTCTCTCTCTCTGGTCTCTCTCTGGTCTCCCTCTGGTCTCTCTGGTCTCTCTCTGGTCTCTCTCTGGTCTCTCTCTGGTCTCTCCCTGGTCTCTCTCTCTGGTCTCTCTCTGGTCTCTCTCTGGTCTCTCCCTGGTCTCTCTCTCTGGTCTCTCTCTGGTCTCCCTCTGGTCTCTCTCTGGTCTCCCTCTGGTCTCTCTCTGGTCTCTCCCTGGTCTCTCTCTCTGGTCTCTCTCTCTGGTCTCTCTCTGGTCTCTCTCTGGTCTCTCTCTGGTCTCTCCCTGGTCTCTCTCTCTGGTCTCCCTCTGGTCTCCCTCTGGTCTCTCTCTCTGGTCTCCCTCTGGTCTCCCTCTGGTCTCTCTCTGGTCTCCCTCTGGTCTCTCTCTGGTCTGGTCTCTCTCTGGTCTCTCTCTGGTCTCTCTCTGGTCTCTCTCTGGTCTCTCTCTGGTCTCTCCCTGGTCTCTCTCTCTGGTCTCCCTCTGGTCTCCCTCTGGTCTCTCTCTCTGGTCTCCCTCTGGTCTCCCTCTGGTCTCTCTCTGGTCTCCCTCTGGTCTCTCTGGTCTCTCTCTGGTCTCTCTCTGGTCTCTCTCTGGTCTCTACCTGGTCTCTCTCTGGTCTCTCTCTCAGGATGGGGCAGATATTGGTCCCACTCTGTGAGCACTTCCATCCATCCATTTTCTTCCCTTTAATCCATTTCTGGGTCAGGGGGGTGGCAGTCAGAGATGCCACCCAAGTCTCATAGCACCAGCCCCTCACTGACCCTCTGCAGGTGGTGAGTCCACAGGAGGACGGCTGCTCTCTGACTGTGAGCATAGCCTTGATCTTTCAGTGGGGGCTTTGGGCAAAGTGGGGTTAAGTGTCTTGCCCAAGGACACAACGACAGCAGTCATCAGTGGGAGTCGGTGGAGAAGGTGCAGAGGTGGGAATTGAACCCACAACCTTCTGGCCTGAAGGCCAATGCTCTACCAACTGAGCTACTGTCGCCCTATGTCTGTGAGCACTTATCTCCTTTTATATTATTATATAGATTATACTGCCTACGTCACAGAGCACAAGTTCAGTGATGGAGGCGGTGGTATTTCAGAAGCAGACAGTGGAGAAAGGACTGAGTGTGTGAAGAGGGAGGACAGACTCATTCTGATCCCACGTCTGAGGAACGAGCGGCAGAGAGCGGAACATACTCTACTCTACTCTGCTCTACTCTACTCTACTCTGCTCTACTCTACTCTACTCTACTCTACTCTGCTCTGCTCTAGAGTAGAGTCTTACTGAGTCCAAAACAGACTGTCTCTGTGGTCTCTGCAGTTTCTCAGGAGTCTCTTGTGCAACAGGTCAGAGGTCACTGCTGCCAACTCCTCATCAGTCCAGACCTGGAGCTGTGTTCAGCTCTATCCAGGCTGATGCGTGGAACCTCTGACACAATCACATCCCCCCTACCCTTCTGCATCAAAGCTTTCTTATCTATCTAGATCTAGTTTCTGTCTCTCTCTGGTCTCTCTCTGGTCTCTCTCTCTGGTCTCTCTCTCTGGTCTCTCTCTGGACTCTCTCTGGTCTCTCTCTGGTCTCTCTCTGGTCTCTCTCTGGTCTCTCTCTGGACTCTCTCTGGTCTCTCTCTGGTCTCTCTCTGGTCTCTCTCTGGTCTCTCTCTGATCTCTCTCTAGTCTCTCTCTGGTCTCTCTCTCTGGTCTCTCTCTCTGGTCTCTCTCTCTGGACTCTCTCTGGTCTCTCTCTGGTCTCTCTCTGGTCTCTCTCTGGTCTCTCTCTCTGGTCTCTCTCTCTGGTCTCTCTCTCTGGTCTCTCTCTCTGGTCTCTCTCTCTGGTCTCTCTCTGGTCTTTCTCTGGTCTCTCTCTGGTCTCTCTCTGGTCTCTCTCTCTGGTCTCTCTCTCTGGTCTCTCTCTCTGGTCTCTCTCTCTGGTCTCTCTCTGGTCTCTCTCTGGTCTCTCTCTCTGGTCTCTCTCTGGTCTCTCTCTGGTCTCTCTCTCTGGTCTCTCTCTCTGGTCTCTCTCTCTCTGGTCTCTCTCTGGTCTCTCTCTGGTCTCTCTCTGGACTCTCTCTGGTCTCTCTCTCTGGTCTCTCTCTCTGGTCTCTCTCTCTGGTCTCTCTCTGGTCTCTCTCTGGTCTCTTTCTGGTCTCTTTCTGGTCTCTCTCTCTCTCTCTGGTCTCTCTCTCTGGTCTCTCTCTCTGGTCTCTCTCTCTGGTCTCTCTCTGGTCTCTCTCTCTGGTCTCTCTCTCTGGTCTCTCTCTCTGGTCTCTCTCTCTGGTCTCTCTCTCTGGTCTCTCTCTGGTCTCTCTCTGGTCTCTCTCTGGTCTCTCTCTGGTCTCTCTCTGGTCTCTCTCTCTGGTCTCTCTCTGGTCTCTCTCTGGTCTCTCTCTGGTCTCTCTCTCTGGTCTCTCTCTCTGGTCTCTCTCTCTGGTCTCTCTCTCTGGTCTCTCTCTCTGGTCTCTCTCTGGTCTCTCTCTGGTCTCTCTCTGGTCTCTCTCTGGACTCTCTCTGGTCTCTCTCTGGTCTCTCTCTGATCTCTCTCTAGTCTCTCTCTGGTCTCTCTCTCTGGTCTCTCTCTCTGGTCTCTCTCTCTGGTCTCTCTCTCTGGTCTCTCTCTCTGGTCTCTCTCTCTGGTCTCTCTCTGGTCTCTCTCTGGTCTCTCTCTGGTCTCTCTCTGGTCTCTCTCTCTGGTCTCTCTCTCTGGTCTCCTCTCTCTGGTCTCTCTCTCTGGTCTCTCTCTGGTCTCTCTCTGGTCTCTCTCTGGTCTCTCTCTGGTCTCTCTCTGGTTTCTCTCTCTGGTCTCTCTCTCTGGTCTCTCTCTCTGGTTTCTCTCTGTCTAAGTCTGAGTCTGCAGAAGAGGAAAAGGAAAGAGACGTTATGAGATGGAATCCCTCGGGGCCTAGACCCTGGTGGGAGCTGAGAGAAGGGTTGGTCTGGCTGACGAGGCGGTGTTGGGGAGGAGGAGGGTTGCTGCACGATAGGACTTATTATTCCTTTAAACAGATTCATCAAAATATGATTTACTTTCTACTGTTGCCATCACAGACTCTCAGACACATGTGCGATACGAGCTGTGTACAGACCTCTACTGAAAGAGGAGGAGGAGGAGAGAGGAGGAGGAGAGAGAGGGAGGGAGGAGAGAGGAAAGAGAGGGACGGAGGAGAGAGAAGAGAGAGAGGGAGGAGAGAGGAGGAGGAGAGAGAGAGGGAGGGAGGAGTAGAGGGAGAGGGAAGAGGAGAGGGAGGATAGAAGAGAGCGAGATGGAGGAGGAGAGAAGAGAAAGAGGGAGGAGAGAGGAGGAGGAGAGAGAGGGAGGGGGAGGGAGAGAGAGGAGAGAAGAAAAAAAGAGGAGAGAGAAGGACAAGGGAGAGGGAGGAGGAGAAAAGAGAGAGAAGAAAGACAAATGAGGGAGGAGAGAAGAGGAGAGAGAGTGAGAATGGAAGAGAGTGAGGAGGAGAGGAGAAGCAGTAGTAGATTTTAACAATACGTATATAGTATAAACAACATCTCTTCCTCAGATCTCCTGTCTACAGTGGATGCAGTGGTGCATTCTGGGACATGTAGTTCCTTTAAACACATCTTTTCATTGGCCTCTGTTCTCATCTTAAACTGTGAATATTACAGCCGTAGTCACGCCGATCTGTGCCGTTCAAACTAATGTGACATCACTTTCTCCGTCTATGGCAGTTTCAAAATGGCCGCCGGTAAAATGTGAAAAACACATTTGTGCGTCAGCTGCACGAGCCCCATTTAACGAGTGCATTCTAAAGACCACAGCGGCCAAACTAGACTGGTCCAAAAACATATACTAGGACCAAGACCCACTTCAGGACCAAGACCCACTTTAGGACCAAGAACCACTTTAGGACCAAGACCCACTTTAGGACCAAGACCCACTTTAGGACCAAGACCCACTTTAGGACCAAGAACCACTTTAGGACCAAGAACCACTTTAGGACCAAGACCCACTTTAGGACCAAGAACCACTTTAGAAC